CAACCTCACCGGCCACCCTTCCGGTCTGTCCGTAGCCCCGTCATGGGTGAGCACCGCCGCGAGTGGTCGCAGCCTGGGACCCTCCGCTGGTCATCCCAAGGTGCTTGCCGCAGCTCGGTGGGCTCTCTTGTCTCGCTCTTTTGCCCCGGCTCTCGGGGAGGGTCAGAGCAGAGTGGGAACGCCCCCTGCTTTGCCTGTGGAGGGCTTCTGATTTGACCCCCAGCATCTCCAACCCTGCAAAACTGTTACCAGTCCGTAAGAAAGGAAGGAGCAGAGGGCCGCTTCCTTCATTCCTAACGGCTGCTTCTCACTTATGTAGCATGCAGTTCATGTCATGCCTTCCAGCGTGTTTGTGCTCACGCAGGGCACACGCATTCCTTGCAGCCAGGTGTTCGGCAGGAGACGTACACAGCCTGTCGAAATGCAGGAAGGCACGAGCTTTGGCTGCAGCGCCACCCTGGCTGCTGGTCAGAAAGAGAACTGCAAGCAGCTCAAGCCAAACAGTGAATGGTCTAGAGCGGGGGCACCAAACTTCCAGCCGGGGGACGAATCTGCCTCTCTGAGCATCTACAGATGGCCATGCCCCTTTCCTCTGCCCGCCGGGCATGAGCGGGTGTCCTGAACTTGGCACAGCTCTTTCCCCCTTCCAGGAGGTGAAAACGCTGCTCCTGGAAGCACGAGGTTTGAGCTCAGGTAGTCTGCTCTTCTGGGCCCTGTCCCCTTGGCCCTCCCAAGCCCCAGCCCAGGCCCTGGGGAGCTTCTCCGAGATGGAGCCTGGGCAGCGGGCCGAGAAGGGCGCAGCACCCAGGCCTCAGCGGGGCCTGCCTTGCCGTCGGCCTCCCTGCGCCCTGGGAGCCCTCTTGCGGATCGGCCCTCCTCCTTCCTGCTATCCTCCCCGCTTCCTTGCAGCCGCTTCTCTGGCCTCCGTGGGAAGAGGGACCCCGGCGAAGCAGTGAGACGGACCGTGGGCAGTGCCCTGGCCAGGAGGCTGCCGTGGTTCAGTTTGGGGGGTGTCCTGTCTCTGGCCCACAGGCCTGCTTTCCAGCTAAATGTCTGTAAGGGGGCCAGTCTGAATGTGATGTTCAAACTATTCGAAGAAGCCTGCTTCCCAATGTCACACATTTCTGCAGAGCCCTCCCCTCTGTGGGGGCACTTCCTCCTTGCTCTTTGCCCTTTTCACACCAACTTCTATCTAGGAACATCCAAGAAGGTAGTGCTTTAAAACGATACAGTAGAGACACACATGTATCCTGACAAAAACCGTGACTTTTTAAACAAACTAACAACGTTGGTGCGATTCTCGCTACACTCAGATTTTCCCTGTTGGCTGGGAAATCCGGGAAGTTACAGGATTCATTTCTACATGCACAGAACTGAGCCTTTAGTCTTTTTCACAGAAGGCCTTAGAATGTTCCGGAAGCCTTGGCTCCGTTCCTCATTTCAGCATTTTGGGCGAGGTTCAATGGCATAAGGGTGCCGTCCTAGCCTCTCTCCAGACCTCCCGACTTGGAGACTTGCGTGCATCCTATACCTGGAACGAGGCACAGCGACAGCGATCGCTCCTGTCGCACCTCCTGCCAGGGATTTTGCCGAGTTGGCTATTTTTGGCCATCTAGATAAAAAGGCCAAGAGTGGGCGGAAAAAATGCTGGGACATCGATGGCCATGGGTGCAGCTCCTCAGTCCGGTCCAGCCCCTGCTCCCTCTGTCCTGGGACACCCCTCTTCCCCCCTCCAATGCACACACGTAAATTCAGGAGGGGTTATCTGAGTTCTGAATAGCTGTATCATGAACCATTCACCTGAAATGAATATCTCTGTGTATTTCATATCATGCAAGATAGACAGCCCTCCATCCTTGCAAGGCAGAGCAAATATGCAATATTTCTCCATTTGTAGATGATGCCCAAACACCCCCTGGTTCTTGGGGGGGGGGTTGTTCTTTCCATGCTGTCATGTTGGTCTCGTAGCTGCCAAAAATGTGGGGAAATCTGGCAGAGCATAGAGGGGGGAGATGCCCCTCGTTAGAAACTAGCTTTGTGTTCTCCAAAAAGGCATTTTTCATTCTACAGCTGCCCCGGTTCTTGATAGTCCGTCACGATCTAGCTAATGCCATCTCGGCAGCCGTGAAAGCCTAAACGGGGCTCAGGCCAGGCGCCTGAGCCGCAGCGCCACCAGAGCTGCTGGCCCGAAAAGGGAGCACAAGCCGTGCCTGCCCCTTCGATCGCTCCGCTTGGCCCCTGGAGGGACTGTTGAGGCCGCTGTCCCTGTGTGCAGAGTGCCAGCGTCTCCCGCCTAGGCCGGGGTCAGGGGTCCTTCCTCACTCATCCAGGGGTAGGGCCGCAAGCTTACTGTACGGGGAGTTGCCTGGCTGGCAACTGATACGCACAGCCCAGTAAGTAGCATAGTTAAAATGCATTCAAGTGCGTGCAAATAAATAGAAGATCAGCAGGTTTATCCTGCAATGAGCAGAGCAGCAGTCAGAAGCCACTTCCGATACATTTTTCTCAGGAAGCTCTTGCTTGCTTGTTAAATTGTAAATGTAACAAATGACATTTTTTTTTGTTTAATGTAGGTGGCTTCTTTGTTTCCCTGATGAGATTTGTTGTGTCTGTTCATCTTCTCCAGAGAATCATTTTAGTTGATATGCTGATGCATATATGAATTCATTTTAATGTTTTGAAATGATTCGTTTTCACACTTAGCACAGACAGCAGGCTCAGGAAGGCAAAGCCATCCTTTACCACTTCCTGTGGTGTGTCTTCCACTGTGTTGACAGAATTTTGAGCAAGGATTTTTCTCCTGTCTTGACTCAGAAGGGCTCCCAAGAGCACCTTGCATGAGATGCATTAAAAACAAGGCCTTCCCTGCCCCTTAGGGTTATAGTCTCAAAGACATGACAAACGAGGAAAAAGGAGGAAGAGAGAAGAAGCAATCAAGCAGACTCAGGCTCCAGTTTGAATGCTTGCCATGGGTAGGGGGAATGCCAAAAAACAGCATTTTGGCAAAAAAAAAAAAAAAAGAAAGAAAGAAAGAAAGAAAGAAAGAAAGAAAGAAAGAAAAAGAAAAGTGGTTGAACTGTTCCCCTTTTCTTTGTTTGCCCCCCCTGCAGGATTTTTCCCCCAAGAGAGAGAGAGTTTGTCCTTCCTGTTCATTTTATCATTGGTTTTATCATGTGGCTGTTTTCAGATTTTTACAAGCGTTCTTGTGTTTACAGATGCCTTAGTCCTAACCTTATTTTGTGAACTGGCCAGAGATCTTCAGTTCTTGGATAGTCCAGTAACGCAGCTTTTTTTTTTTTTTAAGAAAGTACAAATTCTTTTTCAGGTTAAGGTCTGTTACTAGAACGTGCAGCATTGCATTCTCCCCACTCAGCCCGTTCTGGACTATTTTATGGAAATGAGGTTAAAATCTGGAAATTCTGATTGTCGAGGGAAAACTGTCCATTTAGTATGCAATGCTTTAAGCGCGGGGAAAAGGATGAACAGTGCTGAATTCTGTTTTGTCCAGTGCTTCACTTCATTGTCCTGTAATTTGTTGTTGTTGTTCTATGCCTTGACCCCATGAACGGTGCCCTTCAAAATGTCCTATCCTTGAATGTTGTGTTGTTTTTAGCCTCTTTGTTTAAAAAGGAACAGCGGTGGGGGGGGGAATATTTTAAAATAACATAAAAACAAAGCTCTGACTAGCCAGCGTTGGAAACAGCAGGCCTCCCAAGTCAGCGCTTGCTGCCTCTAATCCAGCCAGGGCCTTGTGGCACTTGAAAAACAAACACCTCTGGAGTCCATAGTTATCTAGTCCACAATTTCCATGAAGGTTTTAGATAGGATTAAAGCGGTGGCATCTTCAAGGTGCCACAAAAGCCCAACCAAACCCACAGCTGCCCTCCTGCTGTGCTGTGAGCTCCCCCCCCCCCCCCCCCTTACCTGCCACCTGCACTGTGCTCTTTTCAGCAAAAAGGTGAAGGCCTTCCTCTTTGACCAGGCGTTCAGGCTTCCTGCTTTTGCTGGTTTGAACTTTAGGCCTAAGTGCTCTGCAAGTTTGGACAGAATAAAAGGTCGGTTTGTCATAGCCCACAGTGCCTTCTTTTGCATTGCAACTGGCACAGGTGGGCACCCTCGTTGCATTTTGAACTTCTGCATCAGTTTTAAAGTGATTTTAGATGTTTGTTTCAAAACCCTCTGGCGCATCTTATAAACTTGTTCCGCTGTTTCTAATTCCAGGGACCTTTGGCTGCTGAGTGGCACTGAAGCAAGGCGAGGAGGAGCGAAAGGCGCGCACAGGGAGGCAGGGAGTCCTCCAGAGGTTTTGGAAGCCGTCGCCCCCTGCCCATAACCCCGCTGCCTGGGGGAGGGATCGGTGGGAGTGGGCGCCCCAAACGCCTGGAGGCTGCAGTGGACACGCCCACGTGGCGCTCTCCACCGCCCCGGAACCACAAGACCCATGGGCACGCCGGCCGGGGATGATGGGAGCGGGGGTGCAAGGCCTCTGGAGGGGGGAGGCTGCCCTGATCCCCATCGCTGGCCCGCCCGCAGGAGGAAGCGCCCCCGCCGGGGCTCAGGGGGCGGGTCGGGCCGGCCCGGGGCGGGCAGGCAGGCAGGCAGCCCGCGCGCGCTGGCCCTTTAAGGCGCCTGCGCTCTGTTTGTTATCCTCCCTCCCAGCGCCCATGCTGGCGGGGCCTCCGCGCCTCCCATTGGCTGTCGCGCCGACCAGCTGTTGCCTGCGCCACTCAGCGCGCTCCCCCGAGCGTGCGGGGCGGCCCCGGGAAGCCGGCCCCTCGCCTCCCATTGGCGCCGCGGGAGAAGGGGCCGCGGTCGGGGCGGCCAACGGGCGCGGTGTTGCTAGGTGCCCGCGCGCGCCCATTGGCTGGCCCGGGTGGCTGTCCGGGGCGCCGGGGGCGGGCCCTCGGCCGCCCTTTATAATGGGGAGGGGGCCTCCGGGGGAGCGACAGCGAGCGGAGGGGCGCCCTCGGGAGCGGCGGAGCTGGATCTCTCCGGGGGCCCTCGCTCCCGCTGCGCGCCGCTCGCGTCCGGGGCGACTGGCCCGGCTGCCGCGCCGCGCGGGGGCTGGTGCAGGGGCAGGGGCAGGTGAGCGCCGGGCGCCGCGAGGACCCGCGCGATGCTTCCGCGGCGCGGACCGAGAACACGCAGGTCAAACTTTGTCTTTTCGGGAGCGCGGCGCTGGGGAGGGTGCATCCCGGGGGGGCGCGCCTGGGGGCCCGGGGCGCCTCCGCGGCGTGCGCCACGGCGAGCCCGGGGTCTGCCGGGGCGCGGGGCACGCGTGGCGAGCTCCCCTCCTTGCCCCGCCGCGGCCCGACCGCCTCCCCGGCGTGCCCGCCCGGAGATCGGCGCTGGGTCGGCGCCTGGGAATCCCGAGCGGCTGCGGAGGGACGGGCGGCGCGCTCCGGGAGGGCTGCGGGGGACGCGACGGCCCTGGCGAGATCCCTGTTCCGGCCGGGAGATGGACGCTGCTCACGCCGCGCGCTGGGGGGGGGGGGGAGAAGGGGGAGGGGGGGGAGAGAAGCCCAGTGACCCTCCCCCGGCCGGTCTCCCCTTCCCCCCGGGAGCGAGGGCATCTCCCGATTCCCCGGGCGGCGGCTCCGCGGGAGGAACCCCGCCTCCCTCTCTGCCCGCTTCCCGCCGTCGCCGCTGGCATTCGTGCCGTTCTGCTCGAGACGAGGCAGAGGGATTTCGGCACCGAGCGATCTTGGCCACGTTGCTTCGCAGCAGCTGCGCTCCTGTGGAGGGGCTGGCTCCGGAAGGGCGCCTGGGGCAGCCTGCCCCGGCCAGGGGCCTCTCCGGAGCCCCCGGACTTCGGCTCCCATTATCCCCCGGCTGCCCCCTGCGGCTTCGGGCAGGTTTGCTCAGTTTGCTTTGAGTGGGGCTGGCACTCGACGGGGGCGGAAAGCGGCCCCCCGGGGGCTCCAGGAGCGTCTGGACCCCGCGTGGTCGCCTGCAGCGGCTCCCATCCTTCCTGTGTGCAGTGGGGCTCACCCCCAAGGAAGAGAGAGCAGCCCTCTGCAAGGGGGCGCCTCCCCCCGGAGCTTCTGGGCGCCCCCTCCCAGCATGCCTGACTGCGGGCTGTGCTGGCCGGGGCTGATGGAAGTTGCAGTCCGGGACATCCGGAGGGCCCTGAGCGGGGGGCGCCGTGCTCTTTCGACCCCCCCCCCGCCCCACTCATTACAGTCCCGAATTTAACCCCCACACGCGGCTCAGGGCTCAGCCCAGGGCGCTTTCCCCAGGCGGCTTGTTGCAGCCTTGCTGGCCGTCGCCGGTGGCGTGCGATCGGAAAAGATCTTACCTGGGGAGGGCTCCGTCTGAGCGGCCCTTTGCCCCCCACCAGCCCGGGAGGGCGGGAGTAGCCCTTCTTCTAATGGAGACAGACCAGGAGCTGTCTGTATCCGGTTGGAGAGAGCTGTTTACCATTTCAGCCACAGACGCTGCTGCGCTCATGTAAACAGAAGTAGCCGTGCATCTTTTCCCCTTTTACAACTTGCACAATTGCACAACAATAAAGCTGAGGATGTGCTTTGAGCGTTTTGCTCCTGTGATTCTCGGCGGTAGCTTTGAAAGGTGTCTCTTCTTGAGGTCTTTGTGACGGGCCCTCGCTGCTTTTCTCTTTGCCAGCAGTACATCTCGCACGCTTCTTGTGCCCATTTCAAGGAAGGGGAAGCTGAGTCGGGGAGCAGGCATGTGGCTTGGCTGCCTTGCTTGGCTGCCCTGGCTGGCTTCTGATCCCAGCCTTCTGGTTGCCCAAGTCCTGGTAACTGATGGAGGTGTTCAGATCAAAGTGCCTTGTGAATGGGTCACCCCATGATGTCACCGCTGACATGGGGGTGTAACTTCTGAAGAAGACAGGTGCTGTCTGGAAGATAAGCCTCTATGCATTTTGTATGGGGCAGCAGAAAAGAGGGACAGAGTGCTGCCCGTAGCTGCTTTGTGCTGGGGCACTCTTCCCATGCGCAGGGGCACTTCGCCGCAAGCCATATTCCAAGGAAGAGCCCCAGCTTCTTTCTAGCCTCCAGAGCTGAGCCACAAACATCCCTGGATAGATCGCAACCTTTCCTTTAAGCAGAGATAGAACCCAGCTTGAAATAGCCACAGGCTTGATTACCTGTGGCCAGTGAAAAATCACCACTGGGTGCATTGTGCTGGAAGGATCGGGACTGACATATTAGAAATGATTGACGGAGGTGTGCATGGGCAGAGCAGCCAAGAGGGGGTTACAACTGTGTGTGTGTACACTCATTTCTCTGGCAAGGCTGAGTCCAGAGGTAGCGGGGAGTCAGCTGGCCCCTCTCATCTGGGCAGGGCTTGCCGAGTGCCTTTCTCTCCGCTCTCCCGTCTGTGCGCTGCAGTCGGTGCATCCCAGGGAGGTTCGCGGCTGCAAACGAAGTTCTCTCAGCTGCCCTCCCCAGCGACTCATGTGACCGTGTTTCTATTTATTTATCAGCACCGCTGGTTGTCTCTCCAGACACCAGGCCTCCTCCTAACCGTACGAGAGCCATGCTGCAAAAGCCATTTGAGTGCAACGGGAAGAGGACGTTGCCTGCACGATCGGGCCTCCAGACCAGGCCCGTGCGACTTTTGTTAAAACAGGCAGACATGATTTCCTTTCTCCTGGGCTCCGGGGACGCCCCACCGCAGTTGCGTCTCGGGAAGCTGTGCCTCTGGCGCGATCCGGCCCTTGTAAAGGTTCTTGCTGTGTTTGGGTCAAAATTTCCTGTGTGACCTCAGAACAAAAGGGAAGAAAACGTCTCTTTCAATCTCTGTGCCGAAAGAAACTGAATTTTATAATGTTTGTAAGACTCGGGGACTTGATCTTTGATTTCTTTTCTTTTTGTATAGTTTATTTTCCATTGTTTTTTGTAAGATTTTTTTTCCCCTTGGGTTGAGCTGTTGGGTTAGGGCAGACAAGTGCTCCCATCTCTGGCCTCTAGAAATCTGACATGGGTATTTCTGACATGAGACTGATATGAGACTCTGCTGGGTATCACTGGTGTTCTTTTCAAGCATCTCTTTACATTCATGGGGGCGAGAAACTTGCTTAAAAACAAGGAAAAGTGGCCATTCTCAGGAAGTGGGTGCTGCTTCACCTTGGCCTGTGTTGTCTACTTGGCGAAAAGTACACCAAAAAAATATAACAAATATAGCAATAAATTCTAGCTGAGAGATGCAGGGGAATTATGAACAGCTTGATTAGAACCCCACACCCTGGAAATAAATAAATAAAGCAGACTGAAATAACTGCTATATTTATCTCTGTCTGGGGAAGGTGGAACTAAGAATAATGCCTGCTTTCTCTGTTTTTAGGGAATGGTTTTAAGGCACAGACGGAAGGGTAAGCCCCAGGCGATATTGCAAAAGCTGCTTTCTCTCTGCCTGGGCCATTCTGGACAGACAGAGAACATGCCAGTTTACTTGGTCATCTTTCTGATTCAGAAAAAAATGCAAAGCACACCTGACCAAAAATAACATCCCGCCGGGACATGGGAGTTTGACAGGGTCTTAGCCTAGTCTTAACCTGCAGGGCGGTTGTTAGTTTGGAAAATGGAATCCTCCTCCACAGGTCACTGCCAGCACCCCCAAGGATCGGACGACGATCAATTATTTTGCTGTTTAGCTTGCCCCATTTTTAAAATAAGTTTGGAGGGGGTGGGAATCAAATCCCAAACCAAAACCCAGAGGCTCTTGGGATTTTGCATTTTGGCATTTTGACGCAGAGCACCGGAGAATGGCCCTGGCTTTGCGTGAATTGGAAGAACACTCCATTTGAGACTTCAGAGCCGCACATACCGTCCAAGGCAGACACGCTGCTCCCACCCTGTCTGGCTGGAGGCATGGTGCACCCCGCTAGCCAACCAGGAAGGAGCCGGGCCACTCAGCTTCCCTGGGAGGGGTGTTGGGTGGCAGCAGGGAGGGGGGCAGGCATGCCCCCGTTCCTTGGCTCGCTCATCTCTGTCCTGACTCCGTGCCCGGGCAAGCCACACGCTGGCGAGGAGCGCCTGCCCCGTAAGCGGCCAAAGACGTCCCTGCAGCTCGATCCAAGGGAGCACACTTAAAAGAATTAAGGTCAGCTATGACTGAAAAAAATAAAATGGACATTCACATCTTTGGGGTCCCCTGAGAAGTTGCAGGTAACTCTGCTGACAGTTCTTGCTGCTGTTGGGCTGACTGCGCACATTCCCTCCTGATCGCTTGCCAGTACCGAATGCACATTATTACGTCCGGCAGGAGAGAGAGGTGACGAATGGGGCTGAAGGCTGCAGATGGGGGCTTCACTTGGATGCCTCCCCCTGCATTTAAAAATAAGAATCCAGAATGAATGAGCAACAGAAACGCCTCCAGTTTAGGGCGCCAATGCATCCACACAGACCTGGGCATGTGAAACAGGTCAGCGTAGAGCATCGGCTTTAGTCTTCGTCCGTCTTGTGTTGGGGCCGGCCGTGACACACACGCTGCGTTGCCTGCATATTGCTTTACTCTTACGAAGTCTGTGCAAGCAGAAAAGTAGCATTGCAACGAGGGACTCTTTCTCCTGGACACTCTACCGTCTCTTCCCCCCTTGGTGCAGGGGAAGCAGTACTTCAAACAGCCCAGAAAGGTGGGCCAGCATATTAGAATGGCTCTTTTGCGGAAGCATGGGACACTGGACTTAGAGGAAAGCACCGCGCCTAATTCCACCTGGGGAGCCTGGGGCTGGAGCGGAGGACGTCGCGTCCACAGCCCCGCACGAGCGGTGCGTGCATTGCAGCGTTTGGCCTGCTTTTATCGTTTTGCCGCGCAGTCAGCGGTCCATGAATCTTGGCTTTCGAGGCAGAGCGTGAGAAGAGCCCTGCTGGTTGACGCTGAGGGCCCTGATAGGCCAGTGTTCCCTTATCTTGGTGGCCAGGCAGGTGTTTCACCAGAAAGCCTACCAGCCCGTCATGAGCACATGTGTCCCCCAGTGTACTGCCTCTGTTACTGAAGGCAGCAAGTAGCTGTTGATAGCGGCCTTCTCCGCGGATTTGTCTAATGTAATGTGTTTCGCACAGCTTTGCTTCCGTTGTTCAAGCAAAAGCTGTTCCTCAACATCCAAAGAGCTGTGC